AAATTTTATGTTCAGTTTTATAAATCTAAAACTATTTTCTAAGGAGTAATTTGTTAGACCAAACTATTAATAAAACTGAATTTTTATTATTAATACATTTTTCATAGCTTTTCAATTTTGCCTATTGCCCACTTTTAAGTAAGTATACTAGTGGTTTAATGTTACTGTGCACAACTACACAATTTTTATTAATTTACAAGATTAAAAGAAAATTAATTTTCATTTATTAATTGAATAAAAATTTATATACCTTTCATAATTATTACTCATTCAATATTTTTAATATAATTATTATAAAAATTTAAAAAAAAAATGTATTATATATGTATGTACAAACTTCTCTCTTTATTATCCAAATAACTTTTTTATGCTAAAAATATTATTAATTTAATAAAAAAAATTATAATATTAATTAATTGAGTTTAACAATTGAGTTTACAACATTATAAAAGTAACGGTATACATTTTTATAATATTTTTTAAAAGTCATACTATTTTGTAAAGAACGTATTAACTTAAAAAAATAGTTACATATAATATTTAGATATTATTTTTAAACTTTTATTTAATAATTAATAAGATCAGTAAATTGATTGAAAATTAATAAGATTTGATTGATTTTAAAAAAATATGAATAAAATATCTATCATGTGGACTTTTATCAATGTTATACTTGTTTTACATTTCAAGCTATTTTAAATTTAATTCATAATTAATATCAATGATTTGGTAGTTCAATTTAAAAATGTTGATCTTAAATTTGTTTTTTTTAATGTAGTTCAATTTAGTTTATAGTTAATAATAGTTTAATTTAGTTGATATTATAGTCTAGTTCAAACTCCTAGAACTATAATGAACTAAACTAGATAATAGTTTAGTTTAGTTTAATCAATATTTATTTTAGTTCAATTTAGTTTGGTGAACTATTTATTATAGTTTAGTTCAATTTAGCAATTTTAACACCCCTAGCGATGAAGATCAAGGGAAAACCCTAAATATCCCGTCAAGTGTAACAATGAATTGCCAGACACATCTGTGTGACATTTTATTATTTTCTTTTGTCCTTTTACATCATTTATGAGTTGGAAGACATCTTTGCTACAATACAAAATGACAAGCAAAAATTTGTCATTCTTATTCTTATTGATTGTCCATAAGAGGTAAGGATCGGAAATACAGAAGACATGTGTCCTAAGTTATAAGTTATCGAATTCATGTGTAAGAGGCAATTGTATAATACGACAGATTAAATGCAAATCCACATCTACATAAATTAAACCAACAAACCACTATATTTTTCTATATTCAACACATGTAATTAATTGATTTTAGGTTAAAACCTTTATTTGGTCCCTTATAATATTTTTTTGTTTCAATTTAGTCCCACTTTAATTTTTGATTTCAATTTGGTCCCCAATAATTTAAATCATTGAAACTTGGGACTTTCGTCCAAATGATTTAAACGGAGTTAACTGGTGGCCACGTGGATGCCACGTAAATGTCACGCAAATGGATCCCAAATTTCTTGAATACACTTGGAACCAGAACGGGCCGTTTTGGTTTCAAAACGGGCCATTCTGGTTCCAGAATTTCACGAAAAAAAACTCAAGATACAAAGCATTTCAAACACTAGATTTGGTAATATTATCAATGGGGATTGATAACTTTAATTGCTAAACATTTAGGCTATATAGTGTATCATTAAGGACGATGCAGTATATTACTAAGGACAATGGTAACAGGTTTTATTTCATTGTTAGTCAGACTGGAGTGAACCACTTACTACCAAATTGACTGTATACAGTCAAGGATGAATTTTTGAACTTTTTCAGTATATGTTATTTCATGTGCACTCTCAGTAATTTCTTTGAACTTTTTTAGTATATGTTATGTTCTGAATTTTTGTTTTCAGTTTCTAAACCATGTTTCTGTCTTTGAATTTATGATATGTTATGAATTTTTATTTTCAATTTTTGAATCACATTGCGGCATTTTGGTCAAGATTTTGAACTGGATAAGTTCAAATCAAAGAAGGATTTTAGAAGGTTTTATTTATTTGATTTTTTTTTTAGTTTTATTCATAAACAATATTAATTTATTGTATTTTTTATTTATTGTATTTTTATTAATATATATATATATATATATATATAATGAGCAAAAAATACAATAAAAAGCATGAAGTTGGCGTTCTGGAAACGGGTCGTTCTGGATTCAGAACGGCCCGTTCTAGTTTCAGAACGACCCGTTCTGATTCACTCATATTGTGTTAAATTTGCATTTAGAACAGCCCGTTCCAGTTGTAAAATTAACACATAACATGTGCAAGCAGAACGGACCGTTCTGGTTTCAGAACGGGTCGTTCTTGTTCCACGTCTATTCATGAAATTTGGCATCCACCTGTGCATCTACGTGGCATCCACGTGGCCACCAGTTAACTCCGTTTAAATCATTTAGACGGAAGTCCCAAATTGCAATGATTTAAATTATTGGAGATCAAATTGAAACCAAAAATTAAAGTGGGACTAAATTGAAACAAAAAAATATTATAAGGGACCAAATAAGGATTTTAACCTTGATTTTATCAAAATAATTTATTAAAAATAACTAATTATGGGGATTGTTTGCCAAATATTTTAGTAGTGGTGTCTCATGTAAGAAGTGAAATGTTGTAGTGTGAATTTTTGTTAATGAATGTGTCTAAGTGAGTTTGTTGGTAAAGATAACGAGTCATTTCTTTGTAGCCTTAGTAGTAGATAGAAAAATAAGCCTTTGGTCTTTATTGTCAGAAGATTCCCCCTTCCATTATTCTTCTCTACCATGAATTTTGTAATATTAACGTTAAATTAGTAGCAACATTGCAATCAATAATCATAATCGTCTTGCATTTTTAACATGTTCTTTTCCCCCTAACTTTACTAGATTTTTCGTAATGAGTTTCTGTCTAATTATATTTCCAAGCTACTAATTAAACCATATATTAATAAATCATGAATGATTAATAATATAACAATAAAGTATCATCTATTTTACACACTTGTACATTACATGATGCGAAATATAGTATCATTCTTATTTTGTTTAGTTTGTTTATCAATCTACATATAAGAATTGAAACGGTGAAAATTGAAGTAATATATACATGTTTAAAATTTGAACTTTAAGTCGTCGCTGTAATTTTGATATACAAAAGGAAAATCTTTAACACAAAAGATACTAAATAGTACAGGATTTTAAATGATAAGTAATGACAAGGAAATAAAACCCTTGAAAAAACAATTACAATGCAAAATGCAAAATAAAACGGCCTGCTTAGCGTGTGTGGATCTCTAAATGACCATAATAGTTAAATTAGCAGAAAAATATAACTAAAATGACTATCCGAAAATAACATTAATTAAATAGTTAGATAAAAAGTCATTGATTCAATTGCACATGATTCTATTAAGCGATATCTCGAGTCCGAATCTTGTGACTAAAAAACCATAATTGATAAAAGAGATCCAACTAAAAACATAATCAAGATCTTCAACAAAAATTAACTACAAGTACAATCGATGAGTATTTTGTACTAATAACATTATTAAAAATAATAATAATAAAACAGCTAGGCATCTATGCCACACTCCCTAATAGAATCAACTGTGGGTCTTGGGTGGTTACTGCTTAGGCAAATTTCCCAGCAATACACAACAAAAATTAATGCCTGATAGCTAACCAATACTAACAATGAAATTCAACAGTAAACTAACGCAACCTTGCATATTCCTATACCAAACTTCCTCGGTGATAAAATTCCCCATCACCAATCTGTCGCACAACATTTCAACTAAAAGTCTAAAACAGAGCCCACAACTAAAAGTCTAAAACAAAGCCCACCAGAACAGAATCATTCAAACATTATAGCTCCTGCAGGTTAATAACTTGTGTCCCAAACCCAAAACATAATTTCCATCAGGCAAATTACCTTTCATTTATGACATTTGATCACAAAAGCACAATCTAACCAAGCAACTTGGATTGCCAGAAAACCAAGACTATAAATTCAATACACAGTTGGGCGCTTAGCTCCATATAGGAGACTTGCTCGAGGGAGTCTATTAAATCAGGCACAAGGAAGCAGAGCGCAATATGGTAAAACATGGTTATCGGCTTAGTAGAACACAAGAATGAAAGATATTTTCAATATACAAGCATATACATCTCTACCGGTGACAATGACAAGTGTACACAGCTAGGAAATCATCTCCAGACAGATGTTAGGCTTGACCAAAAATCATAACAGAAAAGTAGGCAGTAGATAACTAGATATAGCGACTTTCAGACATGATATTGAAATGATGCAAGCTACAATATATTACAATAATGATAAACAGAAAAGTAGGCAGTAGATAACTAGATGTAAGGACTTTCAGACATGATATTGAAATGATGCAAGTTACAATATATTACAATAATGATAAACATATTGGCAATTAAGACTGGCCCTGTAATGAGCAGAAAAGAAAACAGAGAGTAGAAACATGATAAGAAAATTTTATATAGGAAACATGTCCACTTAAAACAGCCATACCATTCTAAAAAGCAAAAGGTTTTATTTGTCGACTAATCCCAATTTTATCATATGCATGTCTACTACAAATGTACTATAAACAGGCTAAAAATCTTATTACATCAAACCAAACATCATATAAAATAAATCCACATAGCATTAATAGATTGGCCACAAGTATCCAGGCCCTTAGATTTCTATATAATCATCTTATTAATGTAAAAGACCATCCCTGTTCATCATATAACAGAAAAATAAAGCACAAAAACAATCTGAATGTAAACATCACCTAATGCATGCAAACCCACAACTAAGACAGTTGAAGTTAACAATAATCAACCAAGTAAAACCCTTAAATCAAGAAAGCTAGAGAATAATGAAATTACCATCCGCCAAAATAATTTTAGATATAGCATTAGCAACATGTACTTTAAAAAATGAGAACACAAAAAAAAATGCAAGAGCATAACTTCACTAGTTCAGCTATATAGTAGTCTCAAACTCTGTATAACAACCATTAAATTTATATCTATGGGTTTGGTGCTTCCCATCCTTCATATATGAATTTTCGCACATGGATACTGTGCAAATCAAGTGCCTATAAGAGTAATAAGACAATATTATTATATGAACAAATATCCTTACTCCTTAGTTAAAAAATAAAGAGCGCACCAGAAAATCTATCAGAGAAGAAGTCTGATTCTGCTAGCTGTCTTAGATTGTACCCAATCTATTGCCAAACAAAAGCAAGAAGAACACAGACAACAATAAATAAAAGCAGCCTCTTCAGATAATAATCTTGTTGCCCTTGATGTGTGCGCAGGGGATATCCATGAGCATGAACACCATGAAATGAATGAGAAAATCCATGTGGGAAACCAGCTGCTCCCCCATACATGGCCCCATCATGAAAACCATGCAACTGAAAGTTGAACAAGGACGGAATAAAACCACCAAAAGCCGCAGACAATGCGAAATTCCCAAATCTTGTGGTTGCCACCGGGGGTGGTGCAAATCCACCTCCCAAGCCACCCATAAATCCAAATCCATGTTGATGAAAATGATTTGTTTCGGGTGGAGGAGCAGTTTCAGGCCTCTGACCAGCCGGACGGTGCGGGATATTAACACCTGGAATAGATTTTGATCTTGGATCAGTCGAAGTCTTTCCTCTCCCATACAAGGGAACCAGCTTCTCCTCCTCCACAAGAGCCTTGCACACAGGGCATTCTCGCGACTGCGAGTGAAGGTGAAGCCATTTGTAAAGACAAGGCCAGCAGAAAAGATGACCACACAAAGTAATTATGGGGTCTTGCGCTAATTCAAAGCAAATGTTGCATTCAAAATTGGCAGCATCATTGTTATTATTGTTGCTGAAGTAGGAAGGGCTTGGGGGTGACCTGCCTGCTGATTCCCCAAACCCACTTGCCATCTACAAAACCCAAATCATCAGATGCCTATACACAATTTAATGACTAATGAGGGATCCAATAACATAAATATCAAGCACACACATGACAATCCTCGCACACCAAAAAAAAAAAAAAAAACAATATTCTACATGTGGTTTTCGTGAACCAAAAACCTATCCAGTTGTTTCATAACAAACAAAACGTGTTTTCAATGACATCCACATCTAAACGACGAAGCTCTATTGGTGCACGGAATTGAAAGTAACTGTCAAACGGAACAAAAATAAATAAATTATAAAGAAAATGATATATTTGTGTTAAGCAGAACATAAAAAATCAAACAAACACGAAAGAGGTAAAGGTGACGACATAGCTAGATACCGCTAGGGTGCATAATAAATAGTCAATCATAAAGTCTATCCTACATCAAAATTTGGAATTGCTAGAGAGATGAAAAATGAGGGTTTACAGATTCGGCGCATTCAGAAGGAAGAAGATGAAATCGAAAAGGAAAAGTGGAAATAGAGAGGTAGAAACCTGTGGAAAGCGAAAAATTGAGAGAAGAATGGATCGGTTGGAGAAGTCAATAGTCAATAGTGAAGAGAGAGGGTAATATGATTCATGAGTGACTTGCAATTTGGTTTATCTGATTCTGCAGAAAGGAAGGGATAGGAACCACGAACCTTCTTTCCTTTTACTTAATTTACTTATTGGGTACAAATCATCATTTAATTTATTTTTATTTTTTATCATCAGTGTTTTAAGGATTCATCTTAATCAACAGTCAAGTAAAATTTGATTAATAATTATTTTTCTCATGTATATAAAATAATGTAATGTTTTAAAACAATTGGGTGGAACAGCAAAAAATAAAAAAATAAAAAAAAATAAAAAAGACAATTAGGTGGATTAGTTCAAGATTGAAAAAAATAAGTACATATACAATTTTATCAAATTTTAAAGAATATTTATGTAATTTATTTAATTTTGTAATTAATATAGCCATATATATATATATATATAATTTATATATTTTAAAATTAACAATCTAGTTATTAATGTTATAAATTTAAAAATATATTTTGAATTAAATGATTCAATTTAATTATATTAAACTTAATTCAAAAGTTTTATTAATTTGTATGTAAGACTTATGTTGTTAATAAATAATAATGTTGTATTCACAATCATCGTAGTTTAAGATTTTTTTTTTTTACACACGTAGTAAAGAAAATAATAAATATATCATTTTATGATATAATTTTATTAAAATAATTTATCTTTTTAATAAATATATTACTTTTAATTATAGTAGTAGAATAAATTATGATGAGAAAATTTTTAAAAAACATTATTACATTAAAAAATAAGAACATGATTATTATAGAACATCTTCTAAATATTAAAAATGTACTACCATTTGGAGGCGGCCGGAGTAAATGCATCTACTTTATTGAGGATTAAGTAGGTGTTTTATTAATATATTTAATAAAAATGAGATGTATAAAAGGAAAGCATTTTTTTTCACGATTAAGGTTTTCGTACAAGTATTAAAAAATGTAATTAATATTTTAAATTTCATAAAAAAATTATATATTTATAAGATTTAACTTAAAATAATTATTTATTTTTTATAATATAGTACATACTACATAGTATTTATTTTTCATAATGATTAGATTTTTTTGTCATTTATATTCCTTTTATTTTTTCTCACACTACAATAAATATTTCAGAATTTAATAGAAAATGCATTTAATGTTTTAGATGGCCTTACCTGATTCAATTTAATTTCACTCTTTAATTTTTAAAAATATTTAATATTATTTTTCTGTTCAAATTGATAGTAATAATATTAATAAAATCGGTCGAAAGAATAATATTAAACATTATTTCAAAATTATAAAAATAAATTAAAATATTTAAAAATAGTTAAATCAAATTAAATATTTCATGAATAAAATAATTAAATTAAATAAAAATTTATCTAACATTTTTATTTAAATAAATTTGTTTTTCTTTTATTTATTTAATTATTTTATTAGATAATTCTTTTGTTTTTGTGATATTTTTCTTTTAATTTCAAGTACTCAATTTGTTATCATTGATAATCTTATTAAGGTAAATAAAATAAAATACAAATTTATTTAAACAAAAAAAATATTAGATAAATTTTTATTCGATTTAATCCTACTATTTTTAAAATATTTAATTTGATCCTCTAAATTTGGTCCTCTAATTTTTAAAAAAATATCTTATGTTATCATTCCATCTAATTTCATTAATGTTAATGTCAAAACATAAGGACAACGTTGAAAAAATTTAAAAATTAAAGGATCAAATTAATTTTTTTAAAATTAGTGTAATTAAATTAAATCTTAAAATAAATAGAAGGACTAAAAATATAAATTTATGTTTATCACACACATATATATAGAGAGAGATAAAGAAGAGTTTAAATAACATCGATGTAATTTTTTATCAACTATTATATCGTTCAATAATTTTCAATTAAATGTGAATTTTATTCATCCAACTGTTGAATTATAACTTTATATTACTTTGTATATTTATGTAAAATTTTGTTAAAATTTAACAATTTAAAAGTAATCAAAGTGTTCATGTTTTATATTTTGAAATGTATATATTACATCAATTTTGTTCTATAATAATGAAGTATTAAATCATCTTGAATTAATATAAAATTTCATATATATGATTTAAAAGTAAGAAACTTTCAACTTAACGGTAAATTTTAAAAGATTCATACTTAATTTAAAGTTATTGAACCATGTATAATTGGTATAAAAAAATTATATCGATATCATTTGAACCATCCTTCTACATATTTGTGTATATGTATGTATGTATGTATTTATCATAATTATTTCATATTAAAATATATACATGTTATAATCAATGAGATATTTATATAAATGGTAAAACTTTCTTCTATAATATATAAATTATAAAACAATAACCTTAATTTATTTAATAATATATTACTAAATGATATTACAAAAAATATTTATATCTTTAATGTATTTTAATTAATTTCTTAAACAAAATTGGTAAGATCTAAAAATACCATTTGAAAACATGGAGCACATAAAAGGTATTATGTTAAAAATAATAAAAAGATATGAGTTCAAAACATAGAATTTAGGCTCAACTATATCTTTGTTTCTTTTTGTTTAAATTATTTGTAATTTTAGTTTTTTTTTATTATAGATTTTTAGAGTCGATTAAACTTTCCTTTTTTAAAAATTAAGCAAATTTGTTTCTTTTATCATCTTCCTTTTGATTTCTCTTTTCTACTTAAAATCTTCGTTAATCAAATTTGATTAAATTATTTAAAACTTTTTTCTACTTTAAAATCGTCAACCAAAATATCAAATTTACTCAAAATATAAATATATATATATATATATTAAATACAAAATATATAATAACAAACTTTAATTCTATTATACATCAAATATACGATAGAAATAGAATTAATATCGCATTTACTTTTTATCTTATTCTATTTTGACATGATATCTTGTGATATCATTAACACCAAACTGGCCTAAGCGTATGAATAAAGGGAAAGGGAAAATTTTGTCGTGGTTAATTGGTTTAAGAACATGTCAAGGGTTGACTCGGGTTTGAATTTTGATCTATATTGGCTTTAAATTTCATCCCATCTCCTCATCCATTGGACGAGGACTAAAGAATTAGAAGAACAAAAGAATTTAAAGTTTGAACAGCTCCATGGCTTCTCTCGTTTTGTATTTTCCTTTTATAATAATCCTTCTAGACATAAGATGACAAAGCAAAGAAAACTCGCACAAACGCAATAACGTTAGTCAAGCCTCACACCCAACAATAAATAAATGACAGAGAATCAAAGTCTCCGTCTACGAACACACTAAACAAATCCTAATAGTGATTCAACATTGGTGTTCCAAATTCTATCCCCATTTTCACTCCCTTATATTCATATTATCACTTCATAAATTTACAATTAGGTTATCTCACAATCACAAACAAACACATTCCATCATAGATATTCTTATTCTTACGTAATGAAGAGGGTCAAATATTGGCTAATAGAGCACCCTTCTATCGTCTCCTTCCGCTGGAGTCCCACCCAGTCATACGGCGGCACGTGGTGGTTCCTCATCTCCGCCACCTCGTTCTACGTGGCCGCCGCCGTCACCCTCCACCTCCTCCTCAAGCTCTTCCGCCTCCGCCGCGGCGTTCCGCTGGGACCACTCCCGGCCGTCCACAGCCTGGCCATGTGCGTAATATCCGCCGCGATATTCGCCGGCATGCTCTTCTCGGCGGAGGCGGAAGCCCGCGACACGCGGTGGCTGTGGCGGCGGACGAGAACGACGTCGTTGGAATGGATGCTGTGTTTCCCACTGGGCACGCGTCCCTCGGGTCGCGTCTTCTTCTGGTCGTACGTTTTCTACCTGTCGCGGTTCCTCCACCTGGTGCGGACATTCTTTGTCGTTTTGCGGCACCGAAGGTTGTCGTTTTTCAGGCTGTTCAGCAACTCGGTGCTACTGGTGATGTCGTTTCTGTGGCTGGAGTTCTCGCAGTCGCTTCAGGTGCCGGCGATTCTGTTTTACACGTCCGTTTATTCCGTCGTTTACGCCTACCGCTTCTGGACGGAGATCGGGTTACCCGGCAAGTCGTTTTCGTTCGCCGCCAATTTTCAAATGTTGCTGTTGGGCTGTAATCTGGTGTGCCACCTCGGCGTGCTCTCGTTGCATTACTTGAGAGGAGGCTGCAACGGAATCGGCGCTTGGCTTTTTAACTCTCTTCTCAACGCTGCTTTTCTCGTACACTTCTTGAAGTCCTATGCCAACACTCATTGCACAAGGAAGCCTACTTGAACAATGAACAATGAAGAGGCCTATCCCAACATAATTATATTATTACTTAATTTAACGCCTTAAGTCACTAATTAATAATTACTTGAGGATTTTGTAATTTGAGGACTAATTAAGCTTCATTTGCTGCCTCAGTTTTTTTTTTTTTTTTTAAACATATTTAGCTTGATTGGGTTCTTCGTTTTCTTCTACGTCAAATGTAATGACTCTGTTTGTATGAATACAGAGCTTGTAAAGCTTTCATTGACGGCTTTCAAATTGAAATTGTGCAGGTCAAGAGATAAATTCCTTAACTAATCATGGTACTTCTTTTGCTTATCAAAAAAAATCATGGTACTTCTTTTAACTATTTTAATTAAGGACCTTCGTGCATGGCACTGCAATTTTAAGAGGGTAAGTGTGTGTTTGTTTTTGCGTTTGCATCATGCTTTTTTGTCTCGTTGCTTTGGAATGTACGTGAACGGCTATATATAGAAACACACCAAGAGACTGTTCTTTCTACTCATCAAAATCATTGGAAAGGAATGTCTGAGATACGGTTCACCATTATAGATTTATGTAGTTGAGAACTGCACTGGCCACTGGGTGTCGTGTCAAATATGTTATAGTTGTTGATGATTTTTATTATATGTAAATTTAAATCTATGCGATACGAAACCATATTGCACTACTAGATTATTAAGAAATCACGTACGTTTTCATGTATTATTGGACAAATATAAATTAAAATATAAGAACTTTGACGAAAATCAAAAGCAGATGTTTTTATATGAATATTTTGTGCCGCACCAATTCCTACTATCAAATGTTTTTCAATTTAAATAACAATCAAGTGATTCACGCGTGAATTTCTAAACAAAATGACAATATTCCATGTCAAGGAGTGAAATCAATCATTATATAAAATAGCAAAATAAAGTGCCTCATCAACATGAATGTTGTTGTTTGAGTGGGAAGTTAAAAATTTATAGTTGAGTCACAGTTTATTAAAAAAAATAACTGTTTTGGATAAATAATATTTTTTATAATTAAAAATTAAATTATTAAATTATCCTACATTAAAAGAAGAAGATGTAAGATTATCAAAATAAACAAAGAATAAAATTATCTTTAAAATATATACACTAAAATATTATATCGACTTTATACATTGTCATAGATATTAAAATAGAAAATATATATGTCCAAGAGAATATATGAATTAACTTAACATAAGATTATTCTATTTTTTAATTAGTAAGCATAAATCAACTATATAAAATTATTTTAACTAAATTAGTTATATCAATTTTAATTTATAAGCATGTAATTGTATTGAGTTAAATCAAATTTAAATACTAACATGAAAAAGACACCCATTCATGCATTTCTTTTCTGGACTCTATACATGCATTTAAAAGAAGAAAAAATCAAAGTTGAGTTAAATATATCTATACATCTATTCATATTATAAAAAATATATATTTCAACAACTATTTTTTTTATCAGACATTTTTATCCCTCAACAACTTTATAATTTTAAAAAACCAGTCTTTCTGTAGTAAATAAAAACAAAAATAAATAAAAAGCTACCTACTAGCATGTACTTGTCTTCAAATCTTAATTGTTTTCATTTTTACAATTATGTTTTCTCAAAAAAATTTAAAAATAAATATAAAGACATAAAATGTCTCTTTCCTTATGTTTTAATGTGTGAGATATGTTCTTGCCGGGCATGAGGACTAATGAAATGTGGTGTGGATAATAAGGCCAGTTACGTATGAGGTATGCAAAACTAAAAATACTATGTCCTAATTACATTTAATCGTTAGCATAATTTAAAGTATTTAGATTTGACTTTTCTAGTGCCTATGATTCTAGAAACAGTTCGTCAGCTTAATAAATAATAAACTAATTAAGAGCCTACTAGCCAATTCATTATTATAAAAGGGTGCTATCAATTCATGAATTAATCGATATTTTAATTTGTATCATTTAATTTTAATTGCATTAAGATCACGTATGTACATACGCACATACGTTACATTAAATTCAAGCCAAGATATCATATAATCAACATCTTGGTTGCCAAGCAAACTTACAATCATTTGTGAAACAGAGTGAGACACACACCGTTATGGACATTAATTAACCTTCTATAAGGAGATGCTTTCCGTAACTCATCCAAAATGGTCACACACTCGCACTTTAATTCTTCTTGTCCTAGTCATTTTATGTTTTATTTTTATGAACTTCGTGCTATTATTACAAATATATTATTTTGTGATTAAGGCCAGCTTAGTTTTAACATAAATGGAATGAAATAAAATTTTATTTGTTATATGCATTTGTTAATTTTATTTGTGAATTTTAAAATTTTTAAAATAAAATTGTAAAACACAAAAAAAAGGGATAAAAAATATATATTTATTTTCATATTTTTTTTAATTTGTAAATTGTTAAAGTAAAAATTAAGTTATAATGTGAGAATTTTTCTCACTTATATAATTCATTTTAACGTTATCGGTATAAGATATCAAATACACACTCCTAATGTCGATATCTCAAGTATAAATTTTTTATATCCAATCTTTTGGACATAGCAATTTCAGAATAAGTAATATAATAAGTCTAATAATGTTTATTAAAATAAATTTTGATATTATCGTAAAATTTTATTCTAAAAAAAAAGTGACCTGCTAGATAATAAAACAAAACATAAAGAAGCAGCATTTTTTTTTTTTACATAAATACGGTTCACACGTGCATTCAAAGCTTCTTCTTTTTTTTAAACACATTAGGTAATTTCTTATGTAGAAAACGATGATGGCGTGTGTTAGATAATTTTGTTAAAAAAATATTTGTGTTGATTTGAAATAAGTTTGTCTGGAACATAAATTATTTGAAAATCTGTAGTAATATGATATTAAATTATAACATAATAAATTATATCGACAAAAAAGTTTTTTAAAAAAAATTGATATTAGTATTATTTACTAATGAATGTCAATTATGTTTCTTCACTTTTATTTATTTTATTAAACGAACTGTCCTTTGTTTTTTTTAGGACAACGTACTCACTTTTTTTTATTTTTATGCAAACGTACCCACTTTTTAAAAAATATCATTTGTGCGTTTTTCTACGGAAGAGGGGAGAGAGGTACCTCAGCTACCTTACCTATCTGCGTTTTTCAACATTTTTTTTCATTTAAAAAATAAATGGAAACACACATGTGAACTCGGTTTACGTGAAAAAAAAAAATATCATTAATCCACTTCTCACTTGTGTTTCCACGTGGCCTTCACATAAATTCTAGATGTCATTTTTTTTATCTTAAAAATGAAAAGGAAAAAAGTTAGTTGGGTATGGAAAATGCAACTTTTAGCTTTGTTTTCTGGTATTGAATACCCGGATTAGAACTTTATTTTAAAACGATCCTAAGTTATTAAATATTTTTAAAAGTACTTAAAAAAATGGATTTAGAATCTAAATTAATTTTACAAAAATTAATTTATAAAATGACGATTTTCTTTTACTTATCTATACTATTACGATGTTATTTTTAGATGTTATAAAATTTTTAATATATCTCCATCACGCTTGATATTTGCATTATATATATATATATATATATATATAAATTTTACCT